TCTGTTTTGTAAGGTCTTTTTATTTCAAAGCTGCACACAATTGCTTAGAGACATTAAAGAAGACCTAAATAAATAGATATGTCTGGTTTGTGGACTGAATACTCAGTGGTTTTAAGGCGTTTCCTCAGATTGGTCTGTGGATTCAAGGTAGTTCTGACCCTTGAGCACACATCTGCAAAGGATTCCCCAGGTTTTTGCAGGTAGATAGACTGATCCTGTCGCATTGGTGAAGGGTTGGCACTTGCTGTACAGGCTTGTGCTGAGCCGTGTGAGTTTGGGAGTGATCTCTAGAATCATTTTCTGGAGTAACAGGAAGTATGGAGGAGGTCAGGAACCAGGGGTAAATGTAGAGGGTCCCTGAGGCAGGAGCTAGCAGGGTAGAGCCACATGGAAGGCCAAAGCTTCCTCAGAAGTTTGACAGCCATTACCTCCAAGTGGTGGAGTTATGGATAGTCTTGTTTTCTTCTTTGGATTTTTCTGTTTTTGACAAATATTTTTTGAAGAGCACACTTCCTTACTTCTATGGTAACTAGAGAAACAACAATTCGCTAGTTAATTCCTATGGGATTTTGCTTTTTTGCACCTCTGTATAGTTTAAATATTTTACATGGAGATTGTATTTCTTGTATAATCAAAAACCAAAGGCAGACAGGCAGGTAGGCAGGCAGTCAGGCAAGCAGACGGGAAGAATATGACTTGTGGCTGAAGCAACAGGCCCTGTTCCAATCTTAGGACACCTCCAGGGCCATGACAGGGCCATGTCTCTGTGAGCAGGATGTGGAAACCATACACACAGGGCACACACCAGTGATTGCACCACATTTTACTGGTCATGTTCTTTTCAAATCTGTTACTTCAGTTGAATACATAGAACGACTCTGGTTAATACATCGAGTCATCTCAGAACATTTGACAGAGACTCAACTCCTTAATTCTATGAAGACAGTTTGGGATCTCTAATTACTTCATTGAAAAAAGGCAGACACTTCAGGCTGCCGCAGTGTTTGGGAATTAATCTTTAAAGCCTGACAGTGAACATTAAATTCAATTAGGGAAAGCTATTGGCAAAGATTCCTCTTTCCTTCGCCCTGGGTACTTTGAGCAGTGGCTGACTGGTTTGCATTGATTATGATTTCTCTTGCAGTCTAGATGTCAGCCAGGAAAGCCACGTATGCATTCTCACCTGCAAGGGGCTATCACGTGTACAGGTTGCCACATTTCTTTATGCCTGGCCCATTCAGGAAGCTCCTGCTTAAGAGCTCAAATGTGCCTAGTTGCTGCTTTTGGCCTTGGCAACATAGAGTTCAAGTTTTTTCCTTTTTGTCATTTCTACCATGAATCCCCCATCTCCTCCTGGCCTCTTCCTCCTCCCTTCTGTCCTCTTCTCTCTGTTCTTCCCTTCCTTCTCATCTCCTTCTTTGTTCCTTCTTCACTCTACCTGCTGCTGTGTCCTGCTTCCATCCCTTCCTCTTTCTCACCCTCTTTTCTCTTCATTCTCTCCCTCCTCATTAATTTAACAACTTTCTTTCAAATTATGAAATATTTATATGTGTATGTTGTATTCAAAAGTTCAGCAAGTAACATTACAGACCCCTGTATCCACTGGCATTGTTAAATCCAGGGGTCTGTTCCTAATTGTTATAGGCCCACCAGCCGTGTTGGATACATTGGCTAGTCTCTTCTGAAGACGCTCCCTCCTCTTGACTTGCAGGGTACCCTCCCTGACTTTTCTCCTACCTCACTGGAATCTTCTTCTTAGACTCCTTTTCTACTTTCTCCTTCTCCTCCCCTACTCCTAGTCTGTGAACATGGGGCCCCAGGGCTGAGGCTGTGGCCTCCTTTCTGTATTAGTTCTGATGGAGATCTCAGCCAGCTCCTGGCCAAGACACTATCTTTATGACCATGCTACCGTGTACTTGATGGCCTGCTTCTGTCATTCAAAATTGAGTTCCTGGCTTCTGCCCATCCAGCTTGCTCCTCCCATAGTCAACCCTTCTGTGCAACTCCTTCCCTCTTGCTGCTCAGGCCCAACACTTGAGTGTTGTCCTGATCATTTCTCTTGCCCTCATATCCCACCTTCTTCAGTCCAAGGGATTCCTATTGACTCTGTCCTCCACTGCCTCTGCTGGTCCCAGCCATCCTCCACTGCCCTGGGTTCTTGCAGTGCCTTCTCGCCTCCCTGAGTCTCACTGTGTTTCCCAACCTAACTCTCCTCCCCGTATGCCAGCCAAAGGTCCTGTTAGAACCCAGCCCACTCCCCATCTCCCACCTGTGGAGATCTGGATGTTCTGACTACTTGTGACTTTCCAATCTCATTTCTTACTGTCCCGACCCTGTGCACCTCTCTAGTTACAATGACCTTGCTGCTGCTTGGCAGTGCAAAATATCCTCCTGTACCTGCTTTGAAGGCTCTTCTCCTCAATTTCTACATAGCTTCCCCTGACCTCAGGTCTTCCAAGAGAGGTTTGACATGGCCACCCTAGCCACCATTTCAGCCCCTTCCCCTGACCGTATAACCTCCTGTCTTGTTTACCATTTACTTATTTGGTGGGACTAGGGTTTGAATTCAGTGCTTTGCACTTATAAAGCAGGCACTATACAACTTGAGCTATGCCTTCAGTCCCTTTTGCGCTGGTTATTTTGGAGATGGGGGTGGGTGGTCTCTTGAACTTTTTGTCCTGGCTGGCCTTGAACCGTGATCCTCCCGATCTCTGCTTCTCAAGTAGGTAGGATTATAAGAATGAGCCACCGGCACCCAGCTTCTTGTTTACCTTTTAAAACTTCAGTCTTTATCACTATCAAAACCACTGTAGATTCTGCTTGTCTGTTTACTAGAACGTCACCTCTTTGAAGGTAGTGGGTTTGATCCTAGCTGTTTTCTGTTGAACAATTGTGAAGTAGTAGGTACTTTGGAAATATTTGTTGAGTAAGTGAAAGAGCTTCCCAGATAAAAGCGTTTGGTATCTTTGCTTCTGAGCATCTTCCCTCTCCCTCCCACCTGCCTCTTGCTCTCCCTAGCAGAGGTACTGCTCATTGTTCATAGCTTCCTTCCTCCCACCCTATCCCTCTCCCTCCAGTCCCAGGAGTGATGACCATCCCTGTGAATGTTGTTTTTATAGTCTTACTATGAATGCATGAATAGATGAGATAGATTTTGTGTGTATGTTTTTAAAAATTGTGGCAAAATACAATATAAAATTTATGTCTGAAGCCATTTTTAGGCATACAGTTCAGTGGCTTTAAGCACATTTACCTTGTACAATTATCATCACCATCCACCTCCAGAACTCTCATCTTGCAAAACTGAAACTTTATCCCCTTAACAACTCTTTGCTTCCTGGGGGTAGTTTTAACTATCCAGGGTTTACCTCATGAAGTGAAGACATACAGTATTTGTCCTTTTGTGACTGGCTTATTTTAGTCTGCATAATGTCCTCAGGGCTCCTCCATATTGTAGCAGGTGTCAGGATTTCCTTCCTTTTTAAGACTGAATCCTGTTCCACCCTATGGATAAACCATATTTTGTTTTTCTGTTCATCTGTCTGTGGACACTTGGGTTGCTTTCAGCTTTTAGCTATTGTAAATAATGCTGGTATGATCATGGGTGCGATTGTGCTTATCTCTTCCAGACCCTGAATTTAGTTTTTGGGTACATATCCAGAAGTGGGATTGCTGGATCATATGGTAATTAATTCTATGTTTAAGTTTCTGAGGAATCTCCATGTTGTTTTTCTATCTTACATTGCTACCAGCAGTACACAAGAGTTCCAATTTCTCTGAATCCTTGCCAACACTTGTTATTTTCTGTTCTTTTGATAGTAGCCAACCTAGTGAGTAGGATGTGGTAGTTTGTGTTTTTAAAAATAAAATGCCATCATACTTGGCACATATAGCTTGCCTTATGTGTTCAGTGTTAATTTCTTACCGTCCAGCCATGTTAACCCTGAAAGTCTAGTGAATTCATTTACTTTAGTTTTTCTATTAACATGATACATGTATATGGTTTTGAAGAAATAGTTGTTCTCTGCTCTCTGCTGCCCTTCCATCAATTCTCACTTCACTTTGAAGTCTTTTGGCTATTTCTACTGTTATTTCTGTACGTGTTTTTAAATGTAACTACTGCTATTTTTTTTTTTTTCATTTTTCAGTTTGAGACCTAGCTATTGACCCCGGCACAGAAGAAAGAATCTGAGCGCTCTTAAACATTCTTTGGAGGCTCCTCTTGACCACTGGTTGTCTTAAGCTCATTCATTTACGTGTTCCCAGGAAGCCTATTCTCAGAACTCCTATCCTTTGCATTTTGAGAATCTTTAGGACTTGGCAGGTGGAGTTTTCTCATCTTTAATGGGAAGGTTACCCCTATGATCAGGTTTATGGAGGTGTGTGGTGTGCTTTGTTTGGGATTTTTCTCTTATTAAGAAGAAAGAAGCTTGGTTTTCCTGGTGCAGTTAAGAGGAGCTCAGAGAATCCCACTTTTCACAAATGGTGACCACTGGCTAAGGGGAGAGTACTATAAGAGGAGGGGTAGGGTAAAAAAGGAAGTAAAAGGTGAATATGGTTGAGGTACTTTTTATACAAAAGTGAATATAGAATTTTTAGACCTGTTGAAATCACTGTAAGAAGGAGTTCCTTGCATGGTTGGAAATACAGGTGCGCATGGCTCAGTCTTAAAGAAAGCCCATGAATATAGCCTGGCATTGTGCAGTGACCCCTACAGCACAGATAGCAGAATGCAGGTGGGACCCAAGCAGGACTGTGAGTGTGGCTGTGGCCACAGGTAGGAAGCAGTTATGAAGAGCACAAGTGTTCTTAACCCCAGAACAAGCAAGCCTGCACAGTTTTGCAAGGAAAGGCATAACATCTAGATGTTTTGATGGTGAAATAAATGTACTCCAGTTCCACCATGCACCCCCCCTTGCTCCATGCAAGGGTCTGAGCTGAGCCAGGGGATCAGGCCTTGTTACAATGTCTGGTGCTGTCTGTCTGCATTTCCCTTGTAGGTATGGAATGCTGTAGACTCAGGCTGCTGCTTACAGACCTACTCCCTACACAGCGAGGCTGTTCGGGCGGCACGGTGGTCTCCCTGTGGCCGGCGCGTCCTCAGTGGTGGCTTTGACTTCGCCCTGCACCTAACAGACCTCGAAACAGGTGCGTTCTGCTGTGTCATTGCTCTGAGGTGTGCTGGCAGCTCTCTCACTTGGGGTCTCTGGAGGGTCCCTGACCACAAGCTACATGTGGTTCCATGGCTAGGGAGACTGTTTCAGGACAACCTTCTTGGGTGTCTCCAGACCACTTGCTTGCTGGACGGAACTACAGCTCCTCACAGAGCTTTAGAGACAGGCCTCTGCCAGCCAGCATAGAGGACAGAGCCAAGGTTGTCTCAGCTCCACGCTGCAGGGCTGGATAAAGAGGTGGCTTTTTAATCAACTTCTGACGTGCAATCTGTACTGAAATATATTTAACTTTATCATGGTGTCCTTTAGTTGGAATCAGTTAGAATTCTTGTCAATTCCTTGATGTTGGGAAGGTATAAGGACTGGTTCCAGCCCCTGAGGGAAGTCTTCACCTGAGTGTGTATAATGGCCACATGAGAAGGCAACATGGGCTGAATAGATTCACATTGGGCAGATCCTTGGGGGCCCTTGAGCAGCTGGTGAAGGAGGGAGGGATCAGTGGATGAGCTTTCCCTTTCCTGAGTCTCCTGCCCAGCTTGGGCTCCACCTCAGTCACTTTCATGCTAGGTTCCACATATAGAGCCAGGAATAAGGGTCTGTTCATACCAGTTCCAGTGTGCTTCTCCAGAGCACACTGACCAGCCTCCTGTGTGCCTGGCCCAGCAGTGGCCTGCTGGCCCATGGTGGTAGCTCGAGGGCTGCCGCTTGCAGTATCTGGAAAGAGGAGATGATAACTCTGGGTACAATCCCCTGCATTGCCTTCCCAGCAGTTCCAGGGAGGTGCAGGGAAGAAGTGCACAAGGGGTCACAGTTTACTGTGGGCTTTGTATCCACCTCAAGTGTCCTCCTCTCCTCTGGGCCACCAAGGCAGCCTGCAGCTCCTGTGAGCCCCATGCACACTCAGGACAGGGTGATGGAACTGATGTCACTGGGCCCAGGCTGGTACCTCAGGCTTTGCATACAGCATGTTGAATTCTTAACTGTGGCTGCTGGCAGCAGTTATTTCCATAATTGGTGAGGAGACTGAGATTCAGGGAGCAAAGTTCCTGCCCAGAGCCTCCCAGCATGCATGGCTGGCAGGGCTGGAGACTTGTGTGCAACTGTGGGCTCTGTGCCCTTCCCTCATTTCCAAATGGATGGTACATCCCTCTCAGGGGGTGTTTCCCTGACCATCTGTGGTCTTTTTGACCTTCAGCCCTGTGTGGTCACCATGGCTTGAGTACTTTTGGTGCCACATCAGTTGGGCTGATGATGACAACAGCATTCTCTGGTTATTGAATACCTGCTGTGGGTCAGTCACTGTCTATAGCCTCACACACCTGACTGGGGGCACAAGCCAGATAGTAACAGAGCCAGGATGCAAAGCCTGCTGCCTGACCATTCACTGCTGCCCATGTGTTCCCAGCCTTGCATGGTATGTAAGAAAGAGCTGAATGAGGTCCTGTGCCCACCCTGGAGAATCTCACATGCAGTGCAGAGATAATCTCAGGGTGCCATGATGGAGCAAGACATCAGAACTATGAAAATGTTGAGTATAGGAAATCAAGAAAGATTTCCAGGAGGAAGTAAAACCTGAGCTGAGCCAGGAGCAGATAGACAGAGGATCAGGGTGAAGGAGGCATGTTGGAGGGGAAGGAAGCAGATTCTTAGATGGGACCATGAGGACCCAGCTATCACAGGAACATGGTTCCATGTGACATGTGGGAACCAGAGCTGTGTGTCATGTGGTACAAGAAGCCTAGAGGTGAGTCTGGAGAGTGTGGAAGGCCACAGCCTTCATGAGCACACATGGGTGCTACACTGCCCATACAGTATCAGAGGCCTCACACACACTTGCATCATTACTTTATAGATGAGGGTGAGTGATGCTATCCAAGCACGTCAGATGCATTAGATGACATGAGTGGATTTGGCGTGGCTCTTCATCATTACCTACTTCCTCAACCAGGATATGTTATACAAACACATGCCACTGTTGGTGTATATGAGTATGTGCAGGTGTCATGGGGGGTTCTAACATCTTTAGCCATTAGAAGGCTCCCTTGTCTGGCAGGTTAGGGTCTGCCACAGCAGGTAGCAGTAAGGGCTACTGCTTATTCTGGAGCAAGAATGAATTATGATTTGGTCTGTGCTCTGAGCAGATGTTATTGGTCCCATGTGATATATAGCCTGAGGGAGTGTTGGAGGAATAGGAGGAGGCAGGGTACTGTGGACACGTGTGGCAGAACTGTGGCTGGAGGGCTACATGCCTGGCCAGGCCAGTGAACCCCAGGGCTCTGGGTGCAGGGTGGCACCATGGGAAGGACGTGGCCCTTTCCCTGGGTGCTGCCATCCAGTAGCCAGGTGGTTGAGGAATTCTTACGCTACATTAAAAGAATGATGTCACCACTGGGCTCATCTGTTGAAGGCCTGGTTTCATTCACTCAAGTTGTTACTTACTGTGTACTCATGGTGTGTAGTACTTGATGCTGGGGCTACAGTGGAGAGCAAACTAGATGTCCTTCATCCCCAGGGAGGGCATGACTGAGGGGTTTAGACTGCAGTCTTGGGAAAGGCCTCCTTCTCCAAGAGCAGGCCTCTCCTGAGGGTGGCTGTCAGTTTCTATCTCCTTGTTAGCATGGGAGCTCCTTGAGGATGGGCCCATCCTAGTGGTCTCTGTTTCCATCACCAGCCAGAACTGGCCCTTGCTGAGCCCTCCTGCCCCAGGTGTGAAGCCCCCAGGGGCTGCTGGGGTAGAGCAACCCCTTCCCCGTGTCTTCCACCCCATCTTGGCACACTCTGCCTTCTGCCCAGATTTTGCTTCATGCTTTCTTCACCTGGGACTGGGGGTGGTGGGGGGTGGGGGTGGGGAGGTTCACACAGCCCCGGTGGCTTTAGTCCTGGTTTGACTTGTCCTTTCTCCTCACCAAGTCTGATCTCCCATTTACTTGATCTGCCTTTTTCCGCCTGTGGTGATTTGGCTTTTTCATTTCAATCTAATTAGAGCTCCCTGCCAGGAGACAGCAATGCAGGGCGTTCTCACCACAGTGCTTTGGGAATTAGTCACTCAGTGCCCATTGTCATTAATGGGAATTTGGCGCCAAGGCCATTTATCCTGGTGTCCTCAATCAATACAGTTAAAAATCTGCGGATTCTAAAATGTCAATACCCTGCCTGAAATATGGAGGGCCAGAAACATTTTATCTCGTTAATTTATAGTTCTGACGGGCTGTTGGCTTATGGAACAACCATGAATCAACACTTAATAAAATCTGCTCACAGATTAATTATTTGTGGCGCTCCTGTTTCCGTCTGTAATCTTCCTAACAAATGTCTCTGGTGCATTAGGCTGAGGTGGCCTCAGGAAACACTGGCAGATGCCACGGCGGCCCTAAGTGTCACTGGCTTTGTGAGTGACCTGTCCTGCATACCAAGTCAGTCAGTCTCCTTAAAATGCCCCAAAGCTTGTTTGAGACTAAGCAGTCCTGGTGGTGTTTTTGGCAGACTTCAGCCCCCTCAGTTGACCAGTCTGACTGTTAAGACCACTGCAATGTATGGTACTGGCACCACACTGTGTGTTTCTTGACTGCTTTTCTTGTGCATGGGTCACCAGTCCTGATGTGCACCCAGCTCATCAGGCCATCTGGGCAGCTCTGGATGGGATAGAAGGGGCATGGATGGGCTGCAAATTGGGGCTCTTTCCTTCTCCCGCCCCCACTCTGAGTTGATCAGGTGGGATGCTCCTCTGCCTTTGTTTCTTCACCATGCCAGGCTGGGGGCAGGGCTGTGCCATGTGCAGAGCTGCTTTGCAGAATTCCTGGTACACGATAAGCCCTGAGTAAAGTGCCCTTCCCTCCTCTACACTGCCCCACAAAGCCTTTGTTCCCATTGTGTTGCTCAGGGAGCCCCAGTTGTTGGGCTGTTTCACCAAACAGAGCCACTTTAGGGAATTGGTTCCAAAAGCCTTCCATGGCTGATTGGCATGGGGCTGGGGCAGAATATGAAGAAGCCTTGGGTAATCAAGGGGTCTCCCCAGGTCTCCTCTGGTGGTGGGTGCAATGTCCTCCTGGCGACAGGATGGCATGTGTCCTATATTTGGGGTGTGGATGGGCATGCAAGCCCTTTCCAAAACTCCAGGAACTCAACGCTGGGGAAGTCTGCCCTCCTCTGCCCGGGATGCCTACTGCCCACAGCTCTGTAGCTCCTGCCTCTGACTGACTCCTCCTGCTCAGGATGTCTCTGTGTTTTTGCTAGTGTCATAGAGTATGGAAACAAGTAGCCAGCTGGGACAGGACCCTAAATTACTACTCCCCTTGTTTTCCCTGAAGTGTCTTTTGGTGCCACCCTCAATTCTGCATCATAATCAGGGCTTCCCTCACAGAGAGGGAGAATGGCCAACTGTCTAAACCCTCACTATGGGTCCTGGGCTGTGTGGCCAGGTCTTGCACATCACCTGGCTCACATCAAGCAAAGGTGCTAGACCTTTGCTTATGTGATGTGTTAGTCTCCCACTAGCCTGCAAGGGCAGTGTTTTCAGCCCCATTTCATGGATGTAGAAACTGAGCTTAGAGTACTTAGTGACATTCTTCAGGCCACTCAGCCAGTGCTGCCACTGGCTATATCCAGTTTGGGCCCATGTGACTAGTAGAGGTTTCTTGATGGACATGAGATCAGCCAAGCCTGGGTGTTCTCACTGGGCAGTGGCTTGCCATGTGCAAAAGATGACTGGGGCCTCTGGGGAGGGAGTTGTGCCAGGCTGAGCCTGATCCTTCTGATTAAGTGAGTACTGAAGGATGCTTCTTGAGCGCAGGACAGCTACACTCCAGTAGGAAAATGTAAGCCCCCAATGGTTTCAGAGTACTTGATATAGGAGGGGTGAAAAGTGTCCAAATGAAGGCCTAGGGGAGATCCTCAGGGTACCAGGGGGCTCATGGGCTATGGAGGAGGGGCAGCAAGGGAGGCTCCTTGTCTGGCTAAGACTTTGAGGTGGTGCAC